ACAATTGGTAATGTTTTGTATAAAATTAATATAATAGCACTTTTTGCCAATTTATTTTAAATTGTAAAGAAATGTCAGCAGTATTAACAGAATAAAACTTAATTTTCTAAATAGCTGTATAGCTAAACACACACACATGTATACATGTCAAGGAAATATGAAATGTTTCATGTTTGCGTCCCACCTGATACTCTGACAGCAGTTCTTTCGGCAGTTTACTCGCGGTTCCCCCCATTACCGCCTATTTTTGTTTACCACGACTAGTACTTTAACTCTAAACTACAATAAGGTCAATAAGTGTCCCTGATGTTTCATAAAGATCCTGAAAAGCGGCTGAAGTTTTTGCTGTTTTTAGCCAACACGCTACACAAACTTTAGTCGACAGCCTCTGCGCTTCCGCTTCCTGGACGACACGCCAGTTACTATGGAGATTATATTTACGGTGTGCAAAGTCCAGTCTAAAATTAGTTTCTTATTATCTTCTTCATTCCAAGGTCAGTTGTATTAGTTTGTTTATGCCAAATAATAAGAGTAAGAATGTTTATTTCTGTAAAAAGTTGCTTCTGGATTTCCTGCGGCACAATTGTGGCACAAAAAAAAAATAATATATATATATATATATATATATATATATATATATATATATATATATATACATACAATGAAAAAGACTACTTATGTCAAGTGTGCGTGTGTTTATGTTGTGCGTTTTCCTGACGAAATACATGTGTTAAATTATTCATATAATATCACATTTCTCAAATTGGATCTGCAGTGTGTCGATCATTTCGGAAGGTGGCATCATATCACAAATCATCCATTGTCATGCCATCTATCATGCTCTTTTTTATTCATGAAATGAATTTATACACTATACACTATCATGTATTTTCAAGGATCTTCATTTAGAAACAATCTGACGTATGTTACAAATAAATGCATTAATAGCAAAATCCCTGCAGTCTTTGGTAATACTTGATCAAACTTTAAATAACGTCCAATAAAGAAAACTTATTTTTATAAAGTGTTAATACGTTTATATATATATATATATATATATATATATATATATATATACATACTTATATGCATTTAATTATTTGATGAGAAACGTAAGCTAACAACAAAATGACAATTATTACCAAAAAAAAAAAAAAAAACTAAACCTATTGTTTGCCATATATTATATTATATTTTATGGCTTTTGGATATCTGTTAGTTGGACTTTTTTTACTTTTTTACTTTTGAGTAAACAAGTCCAACGAGCGAAGATTTAGAGAAAAAAGAGAGCGTATACTAACAGCACATTCATGGTATGGTAAGTTTCCAGAGGTGAAAAATAATAATACTATTATTATATTATAATATTCATATAATTAATAATATACATTTAGTTAACTAAATTACATTTACATACCTTACAGATATCTTAATGTTTAATCTCTTTTATAAAACGTTCACAATTTGGCTCAGCTTTAGCCCATTTATTTACAAAATTGGTATTTCCCAAAGTTAATATTATAAGTTGTTTACACCAATCTTTATTTATTTATTTATTTATTCATTTATTTATTCATTCATTCATTTATTCATTCATTCATTCTTTTTGTTTTCGGCTTAGTCCCTTTATTAATCTGGGGTCACCACAGCGGAATGAACCGCCAACTTATCCAGCATATGTTTTACACAGCAGATGCTCTTCCAGCTGCATCCCATCTCTGGAAAACATGCAAACACACTCATTCACACACATACACACTATGGACAATTTTAGCTTACCCAATTCACCTATAGTGCATGTGCTTGGACTTGTGGCGGAAACCGGCCGCACCCGGAGGAAACCCACCCCAACACGGGGAGAACATGCAAACTCCACACAGAAATGCCAACTGACCATATTTAGTTAATTATTTATTTATTTTTAAATGCCTTTTTACAAGAACAAGCATGAACAGTTTGATTTTAAAGCAAAAGTATTTCACAAAAATTAAACAAGAGAAGAACGAAAATAAAAAGGCTTTACAAGAGTCCCGCAGCACATGACGCTCGCTTCACCCACAATCCCTTGCGCGGTCACATAATGGCAGACGTGCAGACGCAGGAGCCGCAGTCCGCGGCACAAACGCTGATTTTACCGAATGGAGACTCTCATCTGCCCAAAGAAGACACGGAACCCGTTGATGAGACCGGCAAGAAGAAGAAAAAGAAGAAGAAGAAGGGAAAAGCGGCAGCCGTAGGTAATAAAGACGGAGAGAAGAGCGGCGTGGCCCTCTCTGATAAACGCAGCAGAGCTCGTCAAATCTGATCTCCAATTCACGCGACATTCACCCAATGCTGACTAGAAGTGTTTTAACTGTGGCTAATGTTCAGTTTATGGGGTTTAGGTTTAGTTTGAAGTTTAGTTTTGTGTGTTAAAGTAGCTTGTGAACTTGTGTAATGTTGTTATGAGAGCACTCCACGTGCTTTAAATGTCTGTATATGATCAATTCCATGCAAATGTCAACCGTGTCATCAGAAAAATGAGGTTTCCACAACAATACATGAGGATTTTATTATACTGTACTCTAAAAATTCTCATTTTTGCTTTTATTTTAATTATTCAAACACATTGTCGTACAAATTTTGCTCCAACAAACATTTACACAACAATTACCAACAAAAGATACAATACATAAGAAAGTACAATAATAATACATTAATACAATAAGTAAATAATAAAAAGGGGGAATAAATAAATACTAAAAGTAATAAGTCCTGAGCTTCAGTTTTAATCAAAATTAACCTAATCCTCTTCAATTGAACCATTTCCTGTATAATTTATGTTTTTAAAATAATTTATGAAGCTTGTAGGCCTGCATGATATTGGAAAAATCTAACATCTACATTAAAACTCTACAGAATTAGGTTATTCAACTCATCTGGTGAAATTGTATCCATATCACAGAATTAAAAACAATAAATGCAGAGTAGTGCATAAAATATAAGAATCAATCCAAGCATTGATAAATGTGGTCCAAATATATTCAGGTATACAGAGTCCAACCGTAATCACTTAATCCTTTAAAGTGCGCTCCTTGAAAACATATTTTGTGGCCAATGCTTGCATTGATTAATATACTGACACAACTCTGATAATAAGCAATTAAAATATTAATAATAGCCTATATGGATGAAAGGTCGACCAAGTTGCTGCGATGCTTGATAAAGGGTTAGGCAGTAATTGAATAATCAAATGTAAAATAATACTGCGTAGTCTTCGTTTTATAAACAATTAAATAAAATGGATCTTTCTTAATTTGTTAAAGATACAAATAGAACAATTTGTTTTACGCCTGAATGGTTTTAAAAGCCTCACACGGTCACAGGCCACTAAAATACTTGCCAAATGATTAATTACAATACAGACTCAACGTTTCGCGATGTGACTATAGCTAGGCCCACACGGAATCTGCGCGCACAGAATTCCGCAGATCTTCCGCAGAATTCCGCAAATTTCTGCGTTTTTTTAGCCCATTATAAATTCTGTTTATTTACTTTAGTAAATGTGTAAATCGGAATTGATTCAGTTTTTATTCAGTAATTTATTACTTTTTATTTAATATATTAAAGTGTAAGTTATGATACTCCGCTGGATACTCCCAAAATAATTCCGCAGAAATCCACAGATTTTTACCAAAATTCTCAGCAGAAATAGCAAAAAACATCTGCAGATTCCGTCTGGCCCTGACTAAAGCTAATTATCATATTGTGATATCGATGCTAAAACGATATATCGTGCAGCCTTTAAAGGTTGCCAGATTTCATAGAATTTTTCTTGTTTATTTCGGAGGAATCTGGTTTTCTCCAGTTCTGTGTCCACGCTTTCAAACTATTTTATTTGATACACCAAAGCCACACAAATGCCAATCTGTCACATACATAACATAAATAAATGCCAAAAATTAGTATTATTTCTTTTGGGTTGTCAAGGTTGTCCAAACTCGAGCTGCGTCCCAAATCGCATACTTATGCACTATTCTACGCCATTTTGTAGTATGCATAGTGTAAGTAGTGCGTTCACACTGAAAACACTAAAACTAATAAGAGCACTTCAATTACCCGGATGATGCACTCATTCAGCTGCTATAATGAAGTGTGTAATGATGGACACTACACGCACTCAACAACAGCAGGTTTGCTTACGTAGCGGAAGGGGCGGAGCTATCGGACGCACATGTTGAATAACTTTATTTATTTTGGATGGTGAAAGCAAAATTCTCCGACGAGAGTGATTATAGCGCCTCCCGATGGTGAATGCGGCAATACTCACGGCAGGTTTTATTTGATAGTTTGGTCATTTATTTCAATGATTTGGCAACCGTCAAACGTCATCAGGGAAACGGTTTGAATTTCCGCTTAGTAAAAAAACATTAGTGTGCCATTTGGGACAACACTACATACATATACTTTCCTGTTGAGTGTGTAAGTGCATAAGTACATAGTGCATGAGTGCATAGTGTATAGTGTGCCATTTGGGACGCAGCTTCGGTCTTGGTGGGCCGGTGTCCTGCATAGCTTAGCTCCAACTTGCTTCAACACACCTGCCTGGAAGTTTCTAGTATACCTGGAAAGAGCTTGATTAGCTTGTTCAGGTGTGTTTAATTGTGGTTGGAACTATAATATGTAGGACACCGGCCCTCCAGGGCCGAGTTTAGACACCTTTGGTCTACATCACAGGTGTCAAACTCAGATCCAAAAGGGCCGCAGCTCTGCACAGTTTAGTTCCAGCCCTAATTAAACACACCTGATCAAACTAATTGAGTCCTTCAGGCTTGTTTGTAACCTACAGGTAAGTGTGTTGAAGCAGGGTTAGAACTAAACTATGCAGGGCTTCGGCCCTCCAGGAATTGAGTTTGACACCCCTGGTCTACTATAAGCTCTCATATGTTATTGGTCACATGTTTATTTCCCTCATTTAAAATATAAAAACACTTCCAGATCGATATTATTCTGATCCGTTTAGTTGTTTTGTAAAATGCGAACAGATGTTTCAGGATATGGTAAACATATAGCCTCTCTGTGAGTTTATATTTCATGTTTTTACTGCAAATGTCACCTGCGTAACACTGTAATTGCTGATCTGTCAACGCTATTTAGGGTTTAAAATTGTTCTGCTTCTCTGAAATAGAAAACCATGACGGCGAAGGAGATACTGATATTGCCAAAGTGACAAAACAACTGGATCAACAAACTTTAGAAGAGCAAGAGAAAGAGGACGAGGCGGAAGAGGGTTCGTGTTAAATTCACTCCTAAAATCCCTGGTGGTTTATTTATAGGTTTGTTATATTGTAAGATTTCTGTTTTGGCAGATGGCGAGGAGGGAGATTCAGCTGGAAAGAAGAAGAAAAAGAAGAAGAAAAAGAAAGGCCGTGAGTGATTTTTCACATGCTCAATAGCCATAAGGTTTTATTTGTTAAAGGGGCAGTTCATCGAAAACTGAAAATGCCAAAAACTTTTAACTTTTAACTGCACTTTTTTTTTCCCCAATAACAAAATAAAACAAAAACGACTGGTGAGAAATCAGCAGCATCAGCTATTGCCAGTGATAAAAGTACTGTACATTTTCTAGACATTCTTTCATACGGGGCCTATAAACAGAGAGAAAAGAAAGCTGCTCTAACAGAATTGGAGAAACAAATAAGATCACTGGAATTACAACACTCTGTAACTAATAAAGACAAATATTTAATCACTCAAAAACGGGTTTTGTATAACAGTTTGTGCACCCAGACGTTGAATCTAAAATGACCAGAACAAAATGCCATTACTATGAATTTGGAGATAAGACTAGCAGATTATTATCATAGCAAATAAAAAAAAGGATCTGATTGATATATTCATTCAAGACAATTAAATGATGGAAGATGTATCAATAATCCTAGAGAAATTAATACTTTATAAAGCGGCTTTATGCAATATTATGAAAACACTGTGATCCAGGTTCACGTTGGAAGTAGTTTTCCAATGGCGGTTTTAACAAATACTTTGAACACACACTCCCAAAAAACAGTCTACATGAAATAATACAAACATAAGTAAACAAATCCAAAATACAGGGATTAGTTTTTATGTTGTTTGTCAGAAAAACTTTAAGTTTGTTCATTTTCAGATGGAATGCCTTAATTGTGGGACATTTATTATTGAACTTCTGAACAAATTTTAGCAAAACTGATCATGTTGAAATTTTGCTCACTAAAATCCTGATATGACATTTTCATAGCATTACATTTCTAAAGCTGATCATTTCGAATATTAGTATGTTTGCACAAGCTCTAGCAATATTTAGAGTCTTACTAAATTATTATTGTTGTTATTTATCTTCCTTCATTCTCCTTTTAGCCAAAGTGCAGACAGATCCGCCATCTATTCCCATCTGTGAGCTCTACCCCAGTGGAGTTTATGCCAAGGGTCAGGAATGTGAATATCCTCCTGTGCAAGATGGGTAAAGACATGAACCACTTATTTACATGATCACACGCACACAAACAAAACCCTTTATGGGACCGTTCACCCAAAAATGAAAATCCTGTCCTCATTTATTTATTACTGACTCATCACAAACATGTTTGAGTTTCTTTTTTTCCTGTTGAACACAAAAGGAGATGCTTAGAATAAAGCTGGAAACCAGTAACCATTGACTTTCATAGTATTTCTTTTTCCTGCTAATAAAAAAGTCAATGGTTACAGATTTCTTGCATATTTCAAAGTATCTTCTTTTTTGTTTTACAGAATAAAGAAACTCGAGCAGGTTTGTGACCAGTCAAGGGTGAGTAAATGATGACAATTGACTGGTCACAAATGGATTAGATTTTTTTTTTTCGGGTTGAAAACACAAAGGATGTTTAGAATAATGCTGGAAAACGGTAATCACTGACTTTCATAATATTTGTTTTTCCTACTATAGAAAGTCAATGGTTACAGCTTTCTTACCTTTTTTTCTATGCATCTTCCTTTTGTGTTCAACAGAATAAAGATCCTTGACTGGTCACAAACCTTTTTTTCTTGTTTGTTGAAGACAAAATAAGATATTTCGAACAATGCTGGAAACCAGTAGCCATTTACTTCCAACAGTATTTGCTTTTCCTATTATTAAAAAGTCAGTGGTTGCAAATTTCTTACATTTTTCAAAGTATCTTCTTTTGTGATCAACAGAATAAAAAAGCTCAATCAGTCTGGGATGAGTAAATGATGACAGAATTGTAGTTTTTGGGTGAACTGTGGCTTTAAGACAGTACATGATTGTGGATGTGTTTGTTTTTCCAGACGCACGGCTGCTTCACGAACGAGCAACGAAGAGAAGAAGTTTTTGGATCAGGCGAATGAGGACATGTGGAATGATTTCCGGCAGGCCGCCGAGGCTCACCGGCAGGTCAGGAAGTACGTGCAGAGCTGGATCAAACCGGGAATGACCATGATCGAGATTTGGTGAGCAAAACAATCCACAAGCTCTACATGTGGTTTCTGGAAAGTCCATGATTGCACTGTATTTCATGACCGTCACTAACCATGTTCTTTATTAATACAGTTATTATATTATTCAATGATAATGCAAATAATAGAATGCATGCATGATAAAAACAGTAATATATGTAAATAAAAAAGTTTAACTTTGACTAATAATATTCTTATATTATTTTGACTAATAATAATAATAATAATTAATACAAAAAATACAATGCATACATGATAATAATTTAATTATAAATAATTTAAATGATTAACTTACTCTTTATTCAAATGACTAAAACCAAATCAAAATAAATATTACAAAATTGGGTGATTATCACTCGAGCATACAATATTATTAATATTATTACTAAAGTATTACAAATATTAATTTAAATTTGCAGTGTTTATCAATTAAAGTAGTGATTTGTGTTTATTTGCATAGTTCACACACGTCAAACTATTTTGGATGCGATTAATTGTGGTTAATTTTTGCCACTAATAAAAATATGCAGATATTAATTAGAAATATAGGACATTGGACAGAATTAACCAACTATTCACTTCTGTTTTGTTTTTTATCTTGACAGTGAGAAGCTGGAGGACTGTTCCAGGAAGTTGATCAAGGAAAACGGTCTGAACGCTGGTTTAGCTTTTCCCACCGGCTGCTCTCTGAACCACTGCGCCGCTCACTACACTCCCAACGCAGGAGATCCCACCGTCCTCCAGTACGACGACGTCTGCAAGATCGACTTCGGCACGCACATTAATGGTGCATCTCTGAACCTTTCCGAACTAACTTCATTGCATGACTTATTTTTGTTCATTTGCTGATCATTTGTTAATCATTAATTGTGTGTCATTATATCACCGCAGGTCGGATCATTGACTGTGCCTTTACTGTCACCTTCAACCCAAAGTACGACAAGCTGCTGGAAGCTGTTAAAGATGCCACCAATACTGGAATTAAGGTACGAATATAACCTCAAGAGTTGCATGATATTGAATAAATCTATTAAATGCATATATTTTGAGCTTCTGAGTGAGTGAAATGTGCAGGTAACATTTAATTTAAGGCCAGTTAAATGGGTTTACATTTTGCCTTTTCTCGTTAATGATACTAAAAGCCTCCCTCACTATAAAACATCATCATAGCCCAGAGGTGTCCAAACTCAGTCCTGGAGGGCCGGTGTCTTCTGAGTTTAACTCTAACTTGCTTCAACGCACCTGCTAGGAAGTTTCTACCACATGTGTGTCAAACTCAGTTCCTGAAGGGCTGCAGCCCTACACAATATAGTTCCAACCCTGCTTCAACTCACTTGCCTGTAAGTTTCAAGCAAGCCTAAAGGACTCAATAATTTTGATCAGGTGTGTTTAATTAGAGTCAGAACTAAACCGTGCAGAGCTGCAGCCCTTCAGGAACTGAGTTTGACACCCCTGTTCTAGTATATCTAGTCGGAGCTTGATTAGCTGGTTCAGGGATGTTTGATTAGGGTTGGAGCTAAACTCTCCAGGACACCGGCCCTCCAGGACTGAGTTTGGACACCCCTGTCATAGGCGTTCAAGAACTTGCTCAACAATGCTCTAAAAGCAAGCGGAATAATACTTGCATTATTTTATTTGCTGTAAATGCTCATGTTGTTCTGTGCATCTACTGGAGTTTTGTTTGATGCATTCAAAAAGAAGTACAGTTCACATATCTGACTGCTAGTATTAAAGGTCAAAATTGTATCACAAGTAATATATAAATACAGATATATGTATAAATGATCCATTTTAATACAATAATTAATGTGTTTCTAAGTAAAAATATTAAATTCTTTATGGAAAGCATCGTTAATGCACTGTGATGCATTGAGAGACTGAATCGATAGCATGATAATCGTTACTGAACCGTGAGACCAGTGTAGGTTACACCCCTATTTATTAGATAGTGAAATTTTAAAGACTGCTAGACTAGATTTTTATATCAAGAGCACTTTGATGTTTTAAACAATTAATTCCTGGGAAGGATTTTGAGTTCTCGTGTATCGAACTGAAAACTCATGAGTAATAAATCTCATTTTGAATTATGACATTGTTGTTATTATGCAGTATGTTTTTCCTTATCAATCTTGCCATGAAATATCCATAATATATAACTTAATATTATGTTTTTTTATTATTATTATTTTTTTTTTAAAGAAAAAAGGTAAGTTTGGGGTCTTTATTTATTTTTTATTTTTTGTAAAGCCTCTTATGCTCTATTTTTATGAGGGATTAAACATTTTCTGAATTATTATTAATGCTTCATTATATTTTGTTTAAAGAAAAATTAAATTTGTTTGGGGTCTACATTTAAAAAAAAGTGTCTTATTGCTTGCATTTACTTGATCAAAATAAATAATGTGTATACTGTAAAACCCAAATTTATATACATTTATTACATTTTATTAATTATATTTTTATTGTTACTTTGGCTATTATTCATGTTGGACACCATTTTTTGTGGCTTCATATTTTGCTGAAATCCTAAAATGACTAAAGAATGCAAAAGAGAAAATAGAAATATTTAATAACGAACACATATTGATCATTGCAATATTATTTCTTTAAAACTATAAAATTTCATAGTTTTAAACCGAAGTAGATGTGTTGAATGGGTCAAAACGACACATCCCACCTCATACATAAATCTTAAACTTCATGTTTTTACTGTCATTAGTGTAATTCTACATTTAGTTTATTTTTTCCCCAGTGTGCAGGTATTGATGTTCGCCTGTGTGACATTGGAGAGTCAATTCAAGAGGTTATGGAGTCATACGAAGTGGATCTTGATGGAAAAACATATCAAGGTAAATCTCAATTCTTATAACATCAAAAGACTCAAAAATAACAAGATATGATTTTATAAATGGCAATATTTTTCTCTCCAGTGAAGCCGATCAGGAATCTGAATGGCCACTCTATTGGACAGTACAGAATACATGCAGGAAAGACTGTGCCCATCGTGAAAGGAGGTGAAGCCACCAGGATGGAGGTGCGTCAGATTTTTATTTTAAAAACTTAATTCTGTTTGTTTCAATGTTTTTTTTTTTTATTGTATATTTTTATTTTACCCTTTCAAGAGTTAACAATGCAGAACAACAACAAAACTAAAACAAAATGGTGCAGTAACACTAAATAAAATAATAAATATTTTTTTATGACTGAAATGCAGTCTGAACCAATGGGGAGAAAACTATTTTGTCTGTTTTTAAATAATTCAAACATGGATTCCGAAGCTTTTCAAATGATTCACCCCTTCCTCTAGCTTTTAGTTTTTTGTTAACAGATTTATATATGGTTTTGACGTTCGGTGGGTCTCTATGTATATGTTCAGTTTACCTTAACAATGAAAATGTAGACAGTAGTTTTACTGTTTGGAAAAGGGACCGAATAAATGTCTTGACCCTTAAGAAGGGTTTAGAGCTGAGTTTGGGTGTGCCAGAGTTATCAACAACGCAAGCTTCTGCTGGCACTTCTCTATCAGTCTACTGCACAGAGAGGTGTAGTCTAGCACACTATTGATGAGATGGCAACATTATTGCTATTTCAATACACTTTAGAGCAGGGGTCTTAAACTCAATTTATCTGGGGTCCGCTTCAGGTTTTCCACAAGAAATTAATTATAAATTTTACATTTATTTTTTCATCCTATTTTGTATTAAAAAATAAAAAGATTTAAGAAGATTGGAATTTTTTTAACACAAAATAAGATGAAAAAATGTACATAAAAAATAAGAATTATTTAAATTTAAATAAAAATGAGGATTATTATTCTAATTATTATTAGAAAATAAGTCAATCAATAATAAATAATAGTAGTAATAATATGCTGTTGTTACAGGAAAAAGCAGCAGCACTGTGGTGTTTTACATCTACTTTTACATCAAATAGAAATATATGTAATGTTTAATGTGTGAGGCAATGCAAATACAATGCAGGTAGCGCGATGCAAATGACCCACAAATAACGGTGCGACCCTATAATTGGTCCGGTTTACCGGGGACTTTTATTGCTAATGGACAAGTGTCCGTATGTAACTGCAGATAACTACAATAGGCGGCACTGAGTTCCTTTTCTTTTATCCCGCCGCATACGCATTAATTTATTTACATTTTTTTCCTGCTCGCTGCACGCAAAACAATGACCCCCAACCAACGAGAGTGATTCTAAACCCAAGAAAGATGACTGGATGAAAATATTGTTCAGGACCAATAGGTAAACATGAATTTTGCTTTAACTAGCGCATGACCGAGAGCCATATACCCCTCACCGTGATTGGCGGGTTCGTTCAACACAGTAAAGTGCTATACATATCAAAGTCATGGATCGCACTAACATTAAACTTTCAAATGAATGCGGGGGCCACAAAGTATCGTCCTGTGGGCTGCAAGTTTTAGTCCCCTGCTTCAGAATGTCTTTATTCACTCAGACGTTATATTGACGAATGTTGGAAATTGGTAGCCATTTACTTCTATAGTATTTTTTCCCTGCTGTGGAAGTCAGTTGCTACCAGGTGTTGTGAATTTCTGTAGTCTGGCTCACGGCACCAAACTGTTGTGAATTTCTTAGACGAGTGCAAAAAACCAGGTAGAACTTTTGGTATCTTCAAAGCAGAATCCTTTTAATAAGACACACACACATTCAGCGTCGCTGTGGCGTCATCGAAAGAACCTCTTAATTTGTACAACAGACACTCAGTTTAAATACATTTGATACATGTAGATGGGGACAGTCTCAAACAAAGCATGCAAATGAATTGTTGATGTCGGCTGGGTAACATGCCTTTCCAGGCCTGATCTCATCAGCATAAGTACCCATTCAGGATACATTTCAGCATTAAAACAGTGTGCAAATGATGTTCTGGAGATAAAAATGCCCGACCAGTTGACCGGCTTGAGAAGACAATAGACACAGCTGTGCTGTGAAACTTGACAATTTGCATTATTTTGGAGACCGTCAGGGCTCAGGAAACCAAGACATTTTAAGGTCTGTCACACCCTAAAAACAGCTTTTCAGTTATGTATAGATTATATCAATTTATATTCCCACACTAGTTTACCATATTTTTTAAAACACATTCTCTTTGTTTGCAAATTAAATTAAGGGAGAATAGTACTGCTTACTAATATAGAGAATAAAGTGACTGTGTGCTTTAACTTTGCAGAACCCAAAAAAGAGCTCTAATGGAAATTCATAGTGTATAAAAAGTACAATACAACCCCTTTAAAAATGACTGACCTCAACTTTTCGCTTTATGCCAGATCAACGTTTTTGAAGTCGTCCAGGGCACTGTAAAAGCAGTCATGTAGTGATGCTAATCTCTGTCTGACATTGTTGGTCATGCCGAATTTCCTCTTTTACAGGAAGGAGAGGTTTATGCCATCGAGACCTTCGGCAGCACTGGGAAAGGCATGGTTCACGATGATATGGAGTGCTCGCATTACATGAAAAACTTTGAAGTTGGTCATGTGCCAATAAGGTGAGAGTTGTGCCACTTCTGACACTTTATATTGACCCTGGCGTTTTGCAACTTGGTGTTGCTAAAGCAGTTCAAACAAGTGCGTATTCCACTGCCTCTGGAAGAGTTTTGAAGTTGACAAGCTCCATCCGTTTGTGATTGAACTGATGAAAACACCTTAATACCAGGAGGAAACTGGACCCTAGTTTCCATCAGGAAGTATGCGCTTGCAAACAGGATCGGTTCACTCTCAGAAAGAAAATAGTACTAATAATTAACCCACTTTTCATTCATTATTCATTTCTCCTTCAGTTGAAAATAAGTTTTTGAGGAAGACATGCAGGATTGAGCTCTACTTTTTTTTTTGAACTTCCAAATTAGTTGTAATGCAGCTTTAAATGATTCTCAAAGTGAGATGCAATGGTTTATAAAAATCCACAGCATAAAGCACGAGGGTATCTGGACACAGTCACAAAGCAGAAACTTGCAATGCTTGCCCCGCCTCCAAGCTCTTCTTTGATTGGTCGACTGCTTTGGAACTGACAGTGAGCTGTTCTATTATTTAGTTTTAATTTAATTAGTTATTAAAAATAAACTCCACATGGCGTCTAAATGCCTTGCGCATAAAGTTCACGCACATCAGTCAAGCGAGTGTTTACATTTAAAAACAATAGAAAATTAGCATGTTGGAAAGGAAAAACGCATTGTGTGTGAACCGCCCCCCTAGGCTGCATTTACACTGCACATCCAGGTAATGAATTGCAGTTTTATGAATATATTCGATTATGTTTGATAACCCGCTTACATCTTTTAATTGTGACTTGTATCTGATGTCTGTATTTATACTGCACGCAATTGTTTAATATTAGTTTATATTGTTTACATGGTGGATATGGTGCTTGCTCTGTCTTGTTAACATGCATAAATGCATTGAAGGCTGATTTATGCCGAAGTCCCTTTAGGGCAAGTCATTCCACTCGGCTGCCATCGTTGAAACACCTTTCCGGCAGTATGCCCGGCATTCTGTTTGAATGGGGAAACATTAAATTCTCCAGAACTACTAGCCAAGATTACGATTAAATTCCATATTACAAATAACCCAAAAATTTAAACAACAGCCGTCTCTTTTGTTTTATTTCTAAAATGTTCATATTACACAAAATCTGCAGAAAATTGCGTCTGTTCCAAGCCCCTCCCCCAGAGAATTGTCATTCTATAGCGATCTCTGATTGGCTCCTCTACTAGAAGGCGGGCATTATTCGCCATATAGCGATCACTTATTGGCTCAGGTACTAGAAGGCGGGGCTTCATTCGCTATATTGACAGTTACACATTTCCCTATTCAAAAGTATACGAGTGACACGTCTTGAGTATTTGTTAATACATCTGCATCAAGCGCACATGTATGATCTGGTGCAGCCTTCGCGAGGTCGCATACTTGTTGCCCAGCCTGACGCATGCCAAAAAATTTAACTACATGTCGCAACGTTACATAGCGCAAGCTCTGATTGGTCAGCTTAGTAGCGGTGAGGAGTGTGGGCGGTGCTGAGAGCCATTAGCCCGTTGGAGCAAGTGTTTACAAATGTCTAGTCCTGTAAAGGAGCTTAATATGGAAACTTTTATTTTGTTTTTATCTTATGATTAATGTTGTTGCACGTCTGCCAGTTCCCGCTTCTAAATGAGTAAGTTTTAGCTACTTGTACATCATGGTGGGTCACGGCTATCACTCGAGACAGAAGTATAAATTTGTCTTAACTTGTACTACAAGACAAGTGTATAAGCTTTGTATATGAATGTATATGCGATTTAAGGCCTTGGGGTGTTTGCAGACTGTTTAGGACTTTCACACATTCATTTTCAAACCGAGTTGACGTCATTCGATAACGTTACTAATCAGAAACCAAGTAATTTTTTTCCTGCTTACACATAGATGGGCTACATGGGATGTCTATGCCACATGAGAGGAAAAGAAAATCAGATATGGGCCACTTGAACCATGCAGTGTAAATGCAGCCTAAATGATCCCAGCCGAAGAATGAGAGTTCTATAATAGATTCCATTATAGAATCCGTTCCAAAGTTCGGAATCAATTCTTTGTTGGAAATCTATTACAGAACTCATTCTTTCTCTCTTGATTCTTAAGGGGCCAATCACAATGAGTGCGCTTTTTGCATTGAGAGGCACCTTTTTTGAATGGTTTACTAATGGCCTTGCGTTTTAAAGGCGTATTAGGTCAGTCGCGTCTTTTTCATTTTCGAATCAAATGAAAGCAGAGGCGGGGTTTCCGTTAAAATGACAGCAGTGTTGTCAAGGCTGCAGAGACTTGTGGTTGCTGTTTTGCGTTATCCAGAGCTGTATGACCTACAAATCTTGAATATCACAATCTTATTAAATATTACAATTATACTAATATCAGCATCAACACTTGCGCACTATACGCAGCTGATCCGGTCGTTGCCTAGCGACATAAAAAGCGCAGCACCCTTATTTTTTTCTTGTCCGCAAAAAGGCATTGTGGTGCGGCATGCGTTTTTGGAACGTTAGCATGTTCGCTATGATCGGCCCCTAGCTCATCAGAAGCTATTAATTTTTTGGAATGTACTCCGAGCCCTAGTACTTTTATCAAGCATTATAGATGCATTTTCTGAAGACAATTTTTTCTTTAGTGCTCGTTTATACAGCAAATTCAATGCCTTTTGGAAAATGTATTTGTGGTGGTTAGATTTGATAATATGGCGGGCCACCAAACATAAATTAATCTATAAGAAACACTGATTTAATTATCTCTTCTTTTTTTTTGTATCTTTCTCAGACTTCCCAGAGCTAAACACTTGCTGAATGTGGTCAACGAGAACTTCGGCACTCTGGCTTTCTGTCGCCGCTGGCTGGATCGCCTCGGTGAGACCAAGTATTTAATGGCGCTGAAGAATCTGTGCGACCTGGGCATCATCGACCCCTACCCGCCCCTTTGCGACACCAAAGGCTGCTACACGGCCCAGTTTGAACACACCATTCTGCTGAGACCCACGTGCAAAGAGGTGGTCAGCCGAGGAGACGATTACTAGGCCTCCACGCCACCAGTTTTTATGAATCTCTTCTTCGCTTTGTATGGAAGTCTAGCTGCTAGGTGAGGAAAAAAGCATGCCTTTAAAAGTCAAAATTAGGACTTACTAAATCTAAATATGACTTTTATAAAGGTTGCGTAAATTACATCGTTACGCCAGTAGGTGGCAACAAACAACTGTCTAAATTTATCACTTTATTAATTCTTAAATTATTATTCTGATTAAACATGAAGTCTTTATATGAGTTATTGTATTATTAACTGAAATTAAGGTTAAACACATGAATTAAAATGTTCTAATATAAAACGTATATTTACAATTATATATATTTTGTTTATATGTATATTTATGAAGAGTTCAGATGCAAAGACCTTAGTGACATCTGAACTTTTATTCTAAAGTGAGCATTTTTTCGGCCTCCATTGTTTACGCTTAAATATTTCTTATTAAAAGGAATTAAAATAACACATTTTTTTTGCCATAAAAGAGAAATTAAACGTACTCATTCTATAAGAAAATTTGTCACTCAAAACCTCATATATACATCTATATATGCATGTATGCAAATGTGTATATAATTGTAAATATAATATATATTTTATATGATTTATGTTAAACTCATATATTTAATCAAATTTTCAGTTAAAGACTTCATTTTATTAGATTATTTGTAAAGAATTAATGAAGTAACATTTAGTTTGTTGCCACCTACTGGCATAGCAATGTAATTTCCACAACATTTATAAGTCATCATTTTTATCTCGTAATTTAGACAATTTTGATTTAGTAAGTCATGATTTCGCCTTTTTTTTTTTTCCTTACCTGGCTGAAATGGGCTTCCATACAACATGAGTATATGATGAGGAAAGGCCTGAGTAGGTTCATGAGCTGTGCCTTCTCATTTTTAACATGCTAGTATTTGTATTAAAGCTGGATAGAGGTTTAAGTCCTCTAATAAAGATGTCCTCTTGTTTAACCATGGTGTAACTCACTGGCACAGATGTCTACTTATCGCCCACCCGTTAAGTGCACTAGAACCATTTTGTAAACAGTATGGTGCACTTTTCGTGATCAATATGAGCAGGGAAATGTGGAGTCACATTTGCAGATAATCTGGATTAGCTGTGTTTCACATTCGCAAGCGCATGTTTGTTTTCTTTGTACACCAAGCTTTATTAAACCTTGCCCTAAGAGAAATTAGGAAATGTTCATGTTTTGATTAATCCGTTTTAATCAAATATTGTCTTTCTCCTTGCTAGTTGGTATGTTTTGATTAAAAAGGCAGAGGATTAGATGTAACTGATTGAAATAGGCTTCATTTCTTTGCGCAAGAACAGACTTGAATAAGACAACCATAGCAAAATACTCATGCTTTCCTCTAAGAGCTGTTGCTCATAACAGAAGTGATGATTATACGTAAACATCTATATTTTGGCTTGTTTGGGTTTAAGCCTGTTTGAAATCATTCTTCTTTCTCGGAATAAAGCACATGTGGTGTTTTATTTTGAAGTGCAAATAAAATTTGTAAGAAATTTTGATCTGCAATGTGTGTGTTCAATGTCTTGAGGCTTCGAAATAACTTCATTTATATCAAAATCTTTCCAAGGAATTTCCAATTTCGCATGCGAGTCATTGACTAGACTGTAAACAAGATGGACGCTGCATACGAAATTCTGTCAACTTGTATATTAACTTGAAGGCAACATATTGTAATGCCATTGCCGTGTAACACTAAATCAATTATAATCCTTAATAACAATAGATAATAACTAAGATAGCCCGCCCACAGTTGAAATTCTTTTCACGCTATTCACGGCGCGTTCACGTGACTGCTGAAAAATTTTCCGTTAGGCTCGGTGTGGAGCTGCTGGTGAAGATTTCATGAAATGTAAGTATCATTGATAATTTATTACTTGCATTTACTTATACATAGCACAATAACAGGTTATAGTTGTGTATTCTTAAAAATAGTTGATGTATGGCAAAATTAAAACCAAAGACGCTTCAATTCCAAGCAAACAAACCGGAGAATTGAAAATTATTGACATAAGTTAACGTTAAGAAACCACAACATTAACAAAAATAATTTTAGAATTCACACAATTGATAGTTCTCTCATATAAATAAAATACCAAAGAAAATTGTGCACAGGAAAGTAATTATTTCTTATGTTATCTAGCCTCCGCAGTCCTCGAAGTTGTTCACCTCTAACGTTACATCGTTAAACCCATTCACACACATATTTACCCTGGGTAAATTTATGAATAAAAACATTTTCTTTTAAGTTGTAAGTAGATAATAATTTCTGGTTGATATATAGTTGATAATATATACGGCATATGTTTTACGCAGCGGTTGCCCTTCCAGCTGCAACCCATCACTGGGAAACATCCATACACACTCACACATACACACAATTTAGCCTACCCAATTCACCTATAACACGTCTTTGGACTTGTGGGGAACACCAGAGCACCTGGAGGAAAGTTTTAACGAGTGCTTATTTGAGTTACTGTTGCCTTTTACCAATGTTGGCACCAACAGCCATGCCACATTCAAAGTCACTTATATCCCCTTTCTTCCCCATTCTGATGCTCGTTATAAACTGCAGCAGATCGTCTTGACCATGTCTACATGGCTAAATGCATTGAGTTGCTGCCATGTGATTGGCTGGTTAGAAGTTTGCGTTAACAAGCAGTTTGACAGGTGTACCTAATAAAGTGGCCGGTGAGTGTATGATAAAGTTAATAAGGCATAGGTTACAACTTAACAATTTATTTGTATTATAAGGCATTGACTAAGATACTAACATCAGGAAAGATTAATAAATGCTTTTGTAGATGCTATTACATTGATTTACTGGAACTAACAAAAGGCCTATAAACAGATAGTCTATTTAGTCTTCCAGCATTTCGTGCCAAGATGAACAACCACAACAAATACAACCATCTGAATATTCTTAAACCCCTCTAAAAGTTTAAATAATAGTTATTTACAGTATTTTGCCCATGATATCAATATAGTGCAAGTTCAATATTAAAATATACAGCTGAAGTAATAATTACTCGCCCTTCTGTAATTATTTTTGCTTCTTCTTCAAATATTTCCCAAATTATGTTTAACAGAGCAGCAGGGCTCAACAATAAGACTGCCCGATGGCCCGGGGCCAGTGTGTGAGATGCTCGAGACAGTAGACCGGATTGTTACTGCCCCGATTGGGCCACTGATGCCCTGTCACTAAAGTTTAATTTGCCTGTGACTTTTTGTCAATTGCGTGCAAAAACAGTCAGAATCGAGAAACAGTAGGTGTTTTTTTTAAGCCTTGAAATGCTACTTCAAATGATTCTCGGTTCCTCTTATCTGATTGGATGTTGTGAGCAAGTTTTTTTTTTTTGTTACAACCAGTACAGCGAAGAGACAGCAACATGGCGGCAACATTAAGTGATGATGCTAAAGGAAAACATTTGTTTCTAACGTTTTGGAAGCAGATATTTACGAGGGTACACCACGACTAAAAAAAATGAAGTGATGTTTTGTACAGCTTGCCGTCAGTTTGGCAGGTCAGCCACCTTTTGTTTTGCAAAAAATTACCTGCACATTTTGCTACTTTTGTTTGCAAAACACTTTAATTTTTGCTCATTGTACATTTATTAACATTTTTAAAATATTACAATTTTAGATTTACAAACATTTTGACACATTTTCTTTAAATTTGTGGCTAAGATAAAGCTATTAACTTTTCTTGGAAAAAAATCTTATTTGTTTTATTTTGGCTTGAATAGAAGAAGTTTTTAATTTTTAAAAACCAATTTAATGTCAATATTGTTAGCGCCCTTAAGCAGTTTTTTTTTTAATTTTCTACAGAACAAACCATCATTAACAAACCATCGCCTTTAGATATCACTTTGTGAAGTTTATTTATAAACAAATTTCGAGAGGATCAAGTGCTTATGATTGTTCACAGCTGTTCCGACTTTAGCTAATATATCCTATCAGACGATCCTTAACTCACTATAAATAACCAGACTTTTCTCATCTCAATATCTTCGTCTTGAAGAAACCCCCACACCCAACCCTACTTTCCCTCCTTTCAAACGGGCGTCACGGTGGCCAGCGATTAGCGCTGTTGCCTCACAGCAAGAATGCCCCTGGTTTAATTCCTTTCCAAACCAGACGGCATTTCTGTGCGGAGTTTGCTAGTTCTCCCCGTGGTCGCGTGGGTTTTCCCCGGGTCCTCCGGTTTCCTCCTACAGTTCAAAAACAAGCACTCTAAACAATTAATGTAAAATATTTTAGCTAAACTCTGAGTACACCTTCAACATCCATATCTGACACTTAGCTACAACAAGCAAGAGGGGGAGTCATCGAGATCTACCTGAGCTCAAACTCCCCTCTCGCCTTGCAACGGGAGGGAGCCCAGGGCTCGAGGATCTTATAAGCTCAGGGCTCTCTCTCGGGACAGCACGCCAAACTAGCTTTACTATCAATCATCAGCTAAGTGTGAACTCTTGAAAAGCTGAATAGTGGTATCTTGAAAAATATGTGCTGTCATCATGACGAAGATAAAAGAAATGAGTTATTAGAGATGAATTATTAAAGCTATTATGTTCAGAAATGTGCTGAAAAATCTTTTCATTAAACAGAAATTGGGAAAACAAAACGTAAAGGTTGCTAATAATCCAAGAGGGCTAATAATTCCGACTTCAATTGCATCACAGTATATCGAATATTGGCTTCTAAATGAATCCAAATGTTCTCAGAAACTTTCCATGGTGCTGATGACCTGTGGATGGACCCGTTTCCTATTGCATCCGAACAACCAGTCTTTCTTTCTCCTGTAGCGTTTGGACAGCAGAACGTAGAGGACGGGGTTCACGCAGGGATGCAGATACTGGAGAACCGTGCAGGCGAAGTGAAACATCTCCCACGAGCGTCCGTGCCGGTAAAGTCCCAAATACACACACAACTCCAGAACATAACCAGGCAGCCAACACAATGAGAACGTCCCAGCTGCTGAAAACACCATGAGAGACGCCCGTCTTGTATTACGGGTGCTGGCGAGGGACAAAACTGGCCTCCTATGCAGAAAAACAGCCATACGTGCTGAGTTTACAGCAATAACCAGCATTGGGATTAGATAGTAAAGCACAAACTGGCTGAGGACGACTTGGTAGTGATGTTCTTGAGTAGTTGGCAGACAAACAGTGCAGTTGCTCAAACCCGGACCTAAGCTTTCTTTAGTGGCAAAAATACGCAGTGGCAAGCTTATAAAGAAACTCAGAGCCCAGACCAGAATAAACATGAGCACCACCAGGTCCATAGTTGGTGGACGATAGGGGTTGGTGATGATCATGGCACGCACCATAGATACGCCGCACAGGGAGTACGTGCTGGCGGCCAGAGAGAACGCCAGCAGAAACTGATAGACCTTGCAGGAGGTGTTGTTTAGGGGCCAGGTGAAAGTGACTGCCGAGTGGACGGTGAAGGGGATGAGAAGTAGCATGAGGAGGTCTGCCAGAGCCATGCTGAGGAGGAGAACGTCCAGGCGGTTTTTACGAAGGTTTTTGTGTTTGGCAAAGAGGGAGAAGGCCAGGAGGTTGGCGCAGAAACCAATGCCCACTATGATCCCACAAGTGCATGCAAAGATCATGCCATAGGGGTTTGTGGCGCCCTGTAAAAAAATGGAAGCAGTTCATAGTGTAAAATACACTAAATTAATGAATTTAAATTAATGAATCTGTATTTAGTGATTCACATTACGTTATAATTGCATTATGGGATGTTGATCTCTGCTCTGTCAACTTTTTTTTTTTGATGTTGAAAATTCAACTCTACAGTTTAAAGGGCCATGAAACCTCCTCGTTTCAGCAGAGTGTTTTCACACCTCTACTTTGGAAAAAGTCAGAAAAGTGGGCGTGTCCAGCTCTGTTTAGGGTGGAGTGTCGGAGGAACTAAAGAGGG